AATATAAATAATATACGTACACATAAACACACACACGCACATCTCACACACAGACACACGCACATATATATTATGTATATATATATATATATATTATGGGTTTTAGAAACCCTAAACCCTAAAACCCTAAACCCTAAAACCCCATATATATATGTAGATATATATATATGTTTGTATTTGTCATTGTACATTTCTGTAGTTATATATTTAGTCATGTTTATTCATATGTATCTAGAAATTAGACGTTTGGGGGCTTTTACATTTTTTTGGCGATTCTTTATTGCTATCTGTGAATCTACCTGGGTGTCGTGTTCATATCTTTTTATTTCCAGGAACTTGGATTGTACGAGCAAGTACATATTACACTTGATTGCAGTCATCGGATGGACAATCAGAAATCGCTTTTGAGTTTAAAAATTTACATTGTGAATAATCTCACAAGAGTACCAGCACAGCGGTGGTTCGCATTTCCGCAGTCAAATGCACCCATTATAGTTTCCTGGCGCCCATAGCCTAATGCGAGTGCACGTTAAGAGACATTAATAAACGAGAAGTCCTTTCGTTTGTGGTGTCTCGAAGGTCCATATATCGCTTCAATGGTATCTTTGTCGCATGCCAGTCTGTCCTGTATTGCTAGACCGGTGCGTTTGTCCTATCTCGAAGGCCTGATTATGGCTCCTCTGGTATCCCGGGTGTCTTACACGTCGCTTCTCCGGGACATGCAGGGATTCACCTGCCTGGGACTCTCCGAACACATGCCCCGTTGCAAGCCGCAGTTCATGTATCCTGAAGAAATCGAGTGCGGGTTGACACCGCAGTCGTTGGAGGACATATTCACACAGTACGTACGCACAGGTGTGTGTGCGTGTGTGTGTGCGTGTGCGTGTGTGCGTGTGTGTGTGTGTGCATGTGTGTGTGTGTGTGTGTGCATGTGTGTGTGTGTGCATGTGTGTGTGTGTGTGTGTGTGTGTGTGTGTGTGTGTGTGTGTGTGTGTGTGTGTGTGTGTGTATGTTCAGTCCGTGCTACTTCTGGCACCTGTATCGTCGACTCACAGGGCTTTCACTCTTGCCAAGTGCAGAGATTATACAGAATAGCTTGGTGGTGGTAGGATATATTCCTATGACTATCCTGTTTCCCACAGTTGGGTGCTCTGTGATCTCATATCATCTGGTCTACGACGCACACACAGCTGTGCATGTGTCCCAGTCTCAAAAGTTTAGGACTTCAGTTGTCAATATAACCGCAATGGGGTGGCCCGTGGTATTGTTTTAAATATAGGTCGCCCTCGGTTGTCTGCTCTGACAGTCCTCGTGGTACATCTTATGGTGTCGAGTCCATATGCGAGAGCTTGCGTTCTTCGAATTGTATCTCGAGGTTGCTTTCGATTTATTCACATCGAATACGACCACGCGTCGATCATCTCCAGTACGGCCGCGGTCGTTGCTAGGTTCAATCACAAGAACACTCACGAGCTAGCTTCTCCTATCCGAGATTTGCAGCGCGATCCATGCAACGGAGTGCAGCGGACAGAATCACGCTGCTGGTGGGTCTGGAGAGTGAGTATACATGTGCTGCTGACCTGGAAACCGTTGCTAGGTTACGCAAAACACACTCGCTGGACTTTATAGTCGGCTCTGTGCATCATGTCGAGGGTATACCCATTGACTTTGACGACGACTGTTTCCAACGCGCGGAGGCACTTCTGGGCAGCACGGAGGCGGTGTTTCTAAGGTATGGGGTGACATGCTGATGCGTTTGATGGGCAAGTACTAATTGGGTGGTCGAGGATCACAAGTTCTTGTGTCCGGTTATGATAGATAGGACCATACAGGTGCCGTTAGGTGTTATTACATATCTTGGCCAATGGAGGAGATAGGTGTATATGCGGCCCTCATTCGCTAACCTTGTACTATCATCTGAGGTGTTGGCTCATCTGCCCCTCCCCCCGCATGCAGATAGTCTGTACACCAATAAGTATACACAATACATATTTTTATAGCATAAAAAATTGAGACGGAACAAAATACACGCTCATGGAAACACATTGCATACTAGTGATACGTAACACCAAGATATACTTACAATACGTATTTAGAATACATAAAACCAATATGAAACACAAAACAAATTGATATTACGTAACCCCAACATGTATTTACAACACGTATTTATAATACAAAAACCCAGTACGAAACACAATACAATTTGATAAAACGTACCACCAATATGGAGTTACAATTCATATTTATATATAAATCATATAATTAATAGGTAAACCTGAACTCCGTCACTCTTCGCTGACTGCAGATACTTTGACCACCAATACGAAGTCATCCAACACCTTAAACCCGAGGTCTTGGGCCATTTTGATGTGGTGCGGCTACTGCGCCCCGGCACACCAATCACAGAAGACGTCTGGGCAGCTATTCGGCGAAACGTAAAGCTCGCTATTGAAACTGGGTATGTGCATTGAACGCGTTGTTATGGTTTGTGGCGGGCGTCGGATCTTATAGCGGTGGTTATACCGCGCGCCGCAAGCTTCAGGACATTTAGTTGATGTTGTTGAACCTCTAAACGTTTTTCAATGCAAAAAAAATAAGCCTGGTTTTAGGGTTTTTACTTTAGGATTCTGTACGTTAAAAGTCCTAAACGTTTAAGTCTAGAACTATACCCACACAAGGTGTTTGCCCGGTGTGGGATCCCATCGACGCGCACGTTTGATTGATCCGTTGTCATGCTCGACTATATATGGCAGGTGTCTGTTTGAGGTCAATGCCAGCGGCCTCAGGAAAGGTCTGGCAGGCGCATATCCGCTGCCGGATATAATGCACTACATAGTGCAACAGGGAGCCAAGTTCACTATTAGCGACGACTCACACTCTGCTGAGCAGGTTGCGACCCACTACGCACAGCTGAAGGAGTACCTGATCAAGCACCAGGTGAGTATAGTTAATGCTTGCTACATAGCACTTGGAGACTCCTTGGTTAGACACCAGACGTATATGCCCAAGTCTTATTATGTACAGCTAAAAGGGTACCTAATTAAGCACCAGGTGAGTTTAGTTAATGCTTACTTTGTCGCACTTAGAGACTCCTTGGTTAGACACCAAGTGAGTATATTTAATACTTAATATAGTATAAATAGCTGTAACTAGTGTAGACATACGCAGTATATGGATGGGGCATGTGTTTGCGTTTTCATGTGCGGGTGTGTGGGTAGGTGTCGAATGCCAACGCGTGCATGACGGCGCGCACGCACATTCATCTTTTTCTTTATGTACCTATTTACATGTGTTAATATTTGGCATCATTCTTTGGCTACCTATTTACACATGTTATTACTTGTAGTCATTATTTACCTACCTATCTACACATGTAGGTACATACATTCAATCTATCGCACAATATTAACACACACTACCCAACTGGGCTTCGCAAAATGTGTATCCGCATACAGGTGACGCAACTGTATACGCTAGTACGAGACCAAGAAGCAGACCCAGTGCGCGTCACTGAGTTCCAGGACTGGCAGGCGCACCCCTCATGGGAGTTGTAGGCTGCATATGGGGGTACGAAGGGAAAGTGATCCTTGGCTTGTGCACTACTGGAGGGCCACTAGTAGATGTTGACATGGGTGGTCGATGGTAGACCCCTCACTACTGTACCATTACTTAGCTCTTACTTGGCTCACCTTTATCACTCCATTGGAACTAGACCCTGGTCTACGGATGCACGCGTGCAAGGCGTACGGTCGAAAGAGTAGGGGTTGATACCTGCATGCAGTGTGAATGGTACTTCATGTACATATGTTTTCGGGGTGGATGCGATGCTGCTGTGATAGGCATGGTACACGGACGTGAGGTAGTGGTGTGGGCGACACTGCTACGTATGTCAGTGGGGCGGGTTGTAGTATATGGGTAACGCACCCCACAGCATCGCATAGGTAATTTTAACAAGGGGACTCGGAAGGGCTGAGCAATGCCCATATAACCACGGGGTGACAGAGCCCGGCAAATGCGCTGGGGACATATACTGTTGGTACGGGCAAGACCTACACGGCACCATCCCACTCAACACATAGCCACTGAACATAAACAGACAGAGAGGGTTTCACTCAACACATACCCTCTGAACATACACAGACAGAGAGGGTTTCACTCAACACATACCCTCTGAACATACACAGACAGAGAGGTTCCACTCAACATATAGTAACTGAAAAGACAGAGACGTCCCAGTGACAGTGGGTTCGGCTCCCTATAGTATTAGTATAAGTCGATTGGGGGTTTAGAACCACAGATCGTGGGGGGTGGTATAGGAGACTGTGGATGGCCTGGCCTGCGCCGAGTCCGCTGTTGCCGGGTGCAGTGGTCTGGAGATTGTCAGCAAACACGTTGTGATAGAGAAATGAGTCATCGCTCGTGGACAACGAGACTGTTTGGTTGAGCAGCGGCCCATCATGAACTAAAACTCTGTAACTAGCCAATAAACACATGAATTTGTCACCGCATCCATTTCGGGGTTTGGAGCGTTGCTATGGCGACAGCCGGTTTTTACTGGTTCACAGCTGTACTTGTCCACATACTAGCCCGAAACGATGGCTGTGCCGAGTACTATTTGATTTTTATAATCAGGTGTTATCACTATCCCCAAACTTTGCAAAACAAACAGACCGGAGGCTTTAAATGATTCCGGATTGTATAGGCCTCCTTCCTCCTTCCGGGTGCAATTTCTCTCAAGTTCCGTATGCGCGCGAGTAGCCCCAGTACTAAATCCATAGCCCTCTGTAGTTTAAAAAGGCTATGTCAAATGATCTGGAAACTGGCAGGAAATGAACCCCCCCATTTCTAACCCTTTTTAAATGTCATATCTGACAAAATCTCTCTGCCTCAATATCACGGACACTCTCACTACCGATATCCTAAGGTTTTTCCTCTTACTCTATCAGAATTTATATTTAAAAATGCAAAACTTAACAGATACATTCTCTTCCTCCTCTATATATCGCGTGAAATCTATATATCGTTCTGCCGCTCTATTAGGTACCATTTTACTGGAGGCCTTACTGTTTACGATTTTGGTTGCGATATTATATAAATCTATACACACACAGACACAGACACAGACACAGACACAGGCAGAGACAGAGACAGAGACAGACAGAGAGACACACACACACACACACACACACACATATATATATATATACATATACATACACATATGCATATATGTATTATATGTATTATATATATATATATAATACAACCTCTCGATTCTGACTAAATACCAGCAATAGGAATATGATGCTTTAATTCTCGCATCATCTTTCTGCCTCAGTATCTGGCCCGCCCTCATCACTAGCCCCCTCACTATCGCTCTCGCCTGCATCACCACCTTCCAGCTCCTTCTTCCTCATAACCTCACACATCTCAGTAAACCCTTCCATCTTCCCATCAGCCGACATGTCCACTATCTCTCTGGGTACCCGTGCATAGGACAGAGTCGACTGACGCACGCCCTTGGGTGCCATTATGATCCGAAGCTCGGTCGAGTCTTGTGTTTCTGCGCAATGGTCAATGGTGTATGTAGAGGTGTTGTGAGTGATAAATACATAAGAGAATATACTCGCGATGAAGGTAAATGTTTTCGTTCATGAATGTCCAGGTGTAAATTTAGTGGACAGATTCACATCGTTTAGTGGCATTATGATCCATAGCTCGGCCGAGTATTGTGTTTCTGTGCAATGGTCTATGGTGCATGTAGTGGTGTTGTGGGTGATATATACACAATGACTTGCTAGCGACAAATACACATGTATGAATTTAGTAGTCCTGCACATATCCTTTAGTGCCTTTATAATCCGAAGATCGGTTAAAACCTCTGTTTACGTGTAATGGTCAATGGTAGGTGTGTGGGTGTCTTGTGTTATTTAGAAATAAAGTGTGCAAGGAAGTAGCTGTACGCGATCAAGTTCATGAATGTGCGATGGTCGAATGGTAGGTGTGTGGGTTTGTTGTGTTTTTGACAATAAAGTGTGGTAGAAAGTAGTTGTATACCAAGTGCATGAGTGTGCAATGCCCAGATATGACTTTAGTGGACTGGCGTACGCTCCTTTCGGCCATTCTGATACGAAGATCGACCGCATTTTGTGCTTCTGAGAAATGGTGTGTGTTGGTGTTTGTGGATGTCAACCAGACCTGGGATTTGCCAGTTTATGAATGTACGTGCACTGACTTGGACCCTTCAAAGACACTCTAATCCGAAGCTCTGTCGAGTCATAGCAAGGACATTCGATGTAGGGTGGTGCATCGTACGTTCGTGCGCGTTTGAATGAAGTAAACATTGATGAACTATCTGTATACGAATGCGGAGGCCCTGACCCGGTACGCTTCCCTTATGCATCGGCATTAAGCTCAGCTGAGTGTTGTGCTTCTGTTCAATTGCGTGGCTGTATGACAATACATGCCTAGTTGCGAGTGTAGATGTTATGGATAGTTTTCCAAGCCGTTCATTAGCAAAGGCCCGAGTACATTCCCACCCACATGAGGAGTCAAGAGGATTCATGGGTGCTAATGTCCTATACAAACACATATGCACACACATACCAGACGGCGCCTCGACGATCTGTATAGTGGACTTACGACCCAACCCAGGGCACACCAACCCGCCCAAACCACCCTTGCACGCACACACTTTGGCCACCGCAACGAAACGCACACACGTACAATACAACACACCTCGGTGGGGATCACTCAGCTCTTGCCAATCGAACATGAGCGAATCCGTTAGGGGTCCAAACGGATTGAAATCAATAAGTCGAACCGTCCGAGGGCCAAGGTATACGTCAAACACATCTGCAGAGCATGGGATGGTGTACGATACGAACAGCGCCGTGAATACTATGCGAGAAAGAAAGGCCAAACGTGGCGCTCAGCATACTATATATATATATTTATATT